TTACTCTCCTGTTATGGCTCCTTGCAACTTCTGGCTGTTCACCAAACTCAAGAGGCCATTGAAAGGAACGCGATTTCAGACAAGAGAGGACATTATGGCGGCACCGCTGGGAAAAGTGTGTGGAGTCCCAAGGAGACTACTTTGAGGGTGATTAGGTTTCCAACGCTCCATGTATGCCAGTTTTTATTCCGCGGCCAAAGGTCGGACACTTTTCTCACAGGCCTCGTATATTCTTTAGGTAGTACATGAAATTAAGGTTTTTATTTCAACAATTTTGTAGTTAATTTGTTTCAAATAATTACCTATATGTCGCTGTTCCATGAGATTTAAGTAAACTACATAAATATTAAAACCTTGCAATAATGGGCTAATTTTAATATTAAAGCCATGTAAAGTATTCAGGTATACCAAGCATTTTCTACCTTCATATTTCTCATTAATTCTAGGTTTGTGCAATTTTCACATAACACATGGCAGAGAAAGAAGTTGATTTTGTTCTAGGTACCTTTGTTCTTTGTCATTCCCTTGGAGATAATACCTGATCTGTTTGTTGGGGACTGGCATGGCCAGGTGGTTAGGGAACTTGACTCGCAATCTGAGGGTCATGGGTTTGAATCCCCATCCCACTAAACGTGCCCGCCATTTCAGCCGTTGGGGCATTATAATGTGACAGTCAATCTCACTCTAAAAGAGTAACCCAAGAGATGGCAGTGGGTGGTGATGACTAGCTGCCTTCCCTCTAGTCTTTTACTGCTGAATTAGGGACAGCTAGTGCAGATAACCCTAGTGTAGCTTTGTGCTAAATTCAAACCAATCAAAACTGACTGTGTGGGGGATACAGCTGTAAAGAAGCACCTTCTGCATGAAGGTCTACAACACTGTCCTCTAATGATAGATCGGGTAATATCTCAGTCTTACAATTTCCCTTATGAAATTACCATGTGGGTAGTGCTAGTTGTGTAAGTCTTACATTACTGATTCATTTAAGTAGTGTGAGGTTTAGATAGCCTATAATATCTTGAGTGAATCATTCAGCTTGTAAAAAAATCTTGAGGGAATAGAGCCAGCCTGATAAATTTAAAACTTCAGTAAAGACGATTGTCAAGTGTCCAACACAAGCACATACATTGTGTTTCTAATATTAATTAAACTTTGTGTCCAGTTTTTTTTTTTTTCATTAGCACAGACTTGGTTGCTTTTAGCAATTTATCTTTGCCATGCCTATAGTTATATAGTGGACCTACCTGGTTTGCTCTTTCAGAAAAGATGTATACCTCAAAATAACACAACCCATCCTTGTGTTGATTCTATGTAAAGATTAAAGTTTTTACTTTATGTAGCTTGTAATTCTTAGTAATTCCTCTAATTAAATTAAATTAAATCCTTGTGTTGATTCTATGTAAATATTAAAGTTTTTACTTTATGTAGTTTGTAATTCTTAGTAATTCCTCTAATTAAATTTTTATTTGTTAGGAAATTCCAATTACTGTCAACAAGGGAATGTGCACACTGTGCAAGGATCTTGCCAAAGTGGTGTTAGATTACCTCTCTCATGACTCAACTCGTGTTAGTACAGGTTTTAAAAATTTCTTTTAACTAATATTTAGTTATTTCTCTTTAATGACTAATGAAACAAATATTAAAATAATTTTCTGGATTGTTGAAATGTTTCGATATTTTACCAACATATTGGATAAATAATAGGAAAAAAATAATTGTAGTAAAGAAGGTTTTGTTGAGGGATCAGTTTCTAGTTGGAACTATTTTACTAGGTGCTATACTTAGGTTGATATGAAAAGTAATTCTTTAAACTACTGAAATTTATTTTTGTTTGTCATGTTTTAAATTCGTATGTATTTATTTCAGGCTAACTTCAATTTCATATAATAAAGTATTATTTAAATTGTGATTGAACTAGAAGGCCTATAGCAGTGTAGGAGTAACTGTAGTATTATTTTCTTAGAAAAGTAAAGAATATTTATGACAACAGGGATTTTAACACTTAAATATTCTTTGGTGATTTGTAGACTGAACAGAACCTGTTAACACATGACATTGTTATAATGACATGAAGACTGAGACTCATTCAGACCTAAAAAAAATCAAAGTGTATGTTTTAATGGTCAATTTTAGTAAAGAAGTTCTTAAAAATTCTCATTAATTTGTAGAAACTTATTTTTCCAATTTTTTTTTTGCTCTTTTGTGTTTCAGTTGTAGTTTATGTTTAAAGAAAAGTTATAACAAGTTTTTGTTGACTTACAGAAATGAAAACAGTGAAATTTGAGTTTCTAGGGATGCATGTTTGTGTGTTATAATATACATGGTTACAGAAAGGACTTAGGATGATCAAATAAAAGGAGAAATATATTAAACATCTAATACCATGAGCCCTTTCATATTTGTTTGTACTTTCTTACTATTTTATGAACACTTTTAATTATTAGTTGGGATACAAATTTTTTACATGCTAATTTAGTCACTGATCCAGTAAATCTGCTCACCCAGTAAGATCAAACCCAAACCTAGTTTAAAAATTTCTGAATGACCTACACTGTTGTGTCCAAGGTAATGTAATTTATTCAGCTACTGATAAAGTCAAGATGCTTCTGTTGTAACATGATTGTGTAACAGACTTTTTAATTACTTGTTTATATTAATTTCATTCTATATTGCAGCTATTATTAATTCTTGCTTTGTCTTCACTGAAGTAATGTGTACAATTAGGTGAATTTTTATATTTATTCAAAGTGATTTGAGTTTTCTCTTGAAACACATGATATTAAATACTCCAGTAACTGAATTATTTATTTATATGTTATTTTAAAAATAGATATAATGTTTGAAATTTTCTTAGTCTTGTTATTCAGGAAACACTGAGAAAGCTAGTTGGAAGCAATTGTTTTCAAATTCATAATTCACTAATTTCAATTTGTAGACTACATTTTTTCATGGTTATACTTGCATATTTTATAAGCTGAAGCTGTTTTTTTTTACTTTTAACTCTTTTGAAATACTGAATAGTTCTATTTAATACTTCTGTCTGATTGTAGGATGAAATTTTTGGTGAGGTATCTAAGCTTTGTAATCTTCTCGGACCCTTCTCAACACAGGTAACTTAAAAGGGTTTATTTCTAAGATATTTTGTATTAACTTTGTTTAAAGATTATTCTGCATTGTTCTTTCACAAATTTTTCATTTTAAATAAATGACTGTAAAATTGATATAATATTAAAAGCTAAATTTTAATTACAAGTACTACCATTTTAATGACTTAAAATGTGCAGTAGTTCACAAACTTGTTAAAACATACATCATAGGCAAGGAAATATGATGGTGATTTGTTTTGTAGTCTAAAACATTGATAAAGATTCTGGTTTGTTGTGATAAAGTAGATAATAACCAATAAATGCTCTTTGTCATTTCTAACAGTGCCAGAAATTGCTGGATGAGAACTTTAATTCCATATATGGCTTTATTATTGGAGAGCTGGTAGGTGTCATGTGTGATAATAATGGTTAGCTCTGTCATTGTTTAAGTAAATTTTAAGTTATACTAAGAACTAGTAGGTTTTTTGATTTATAATAATGGTGTAGCTCTGTCAGTATAGGAATGAAATCCAGTTTTATTGGTAGAGAGTGCTCTGGTGTGTATGGGCTGGTATTAGATTTGTGATTAATTTTCACTGAAAATGTTTTTTTGTGAAAACTACAGACATATTTGTTTAAGTTAAATACTTAAGGATGCAGAATTTTGATTTACAAAAACAAATTCTCTCTAATTTTTTCAATCAATGTGTGGAATGAATTTTATCATGTGCATCAGTATCAAGGCAATATGCGGATGTGTGCTATCAGTTTGTATTTAAGGGTGGGGTATTTTAGACCATCGACCCAATTGGATCATGGATCATTAGGCTGCTTTGCAATGTTATCAGGTGGTTATTTAGGCTTTAGGCTTATTGACTGCCAGGGTCATTAATGCTGTCAATGTGTTGAGACTCCTCTCCAATACTGAGGATGTGCATGGCTGGAATAATGAAGTGTGTGGCACTTGATTTGTTGTTGTACGGCTGTGCAGCTTAGAGGGAACACTATACAGAAAAATATATTTAGTAACCTCAAAGGTCAACACTGTTTTGACTGTTGCTTCTAAGAGGTATTACAGTGGTATGTTTGCGGACTTACAGTGCTAGAAACCGTGTTTTGATACCTATGTTGGGCAGAGCACAGATAGTCCATTGTGCAGCTTTGTGCTTAACTACAAGCAAACAAACTAAGAGGCATTACATATTTTGTTGAATATTTAGCTGCTGTTTGTGATTTCAATCCTTTCTGGCTGGGTGTTAGTATTTTGTACTTAGATTTTTGTACTTGTATTCATATGTGAAAAAGACACACTTCAAACATGATGTATGATAATCATTGATCATTTTTAATTGTAATTTTATTTTTGTGGTAAATTTTCATTTTACAATGAAATAAAAACCATAATATGACTGCATACTGTGCCATTATGCAATACACCGATAACCATTCATATCAAAGCACACTTGTTCTACAGACTACACAGACTCTGTGACTCAGAATGTCTTTGGCATTTGTTTTCTGTTTTATCTTATTTATTTCACAAAAGTAGCAACTGTCTTATGAAGAGAAGTTTATATTCAACATTTAGAGTAATTTTATATTGTTGCATAGCTGTATTGTTTGCTTTTTATTATTTCATTCTAACCAGTAGACTTATTTTGATATATCAAACTAAACACTATATTCCTTTTAGAAATTATATACAGTTGTTTTGTTTTGTTTTTTAAAGAGATTTTGCTAATCTCTCGAGATCATCCTACATAAAACTCCATTAATTTCAAATTACCATTGAGAATGATTGTAAACCAAAGAATAAGTATCAAAGTAAATACTTCAACAATAAACAGGCAAGGAAACTAAAAACTTTGACTTTTTAATTTTACTAGTTTGTAATAAACCTGACATAATTAAAATATTTGGAGGCATGTGTCCAAAGAAAGGCTTATAACTACTAACTAAAATTCACACACAAAAAAGTAAAATCCATATAAGGAAGAAGGGAATCTATGATAAATATATTGTGAGAAAGAAAACAATATCAGATTTCAGATGATATATTTATGATTTTATTAAGGTGGAGGGTGAATAGATATTAATCTTTGTAGGCTTCATATGTACATTTTAGAAAATCAAAAATTATCAAGTCACTAGAATAGTACACACAAACCCCCCTGTATTTTATTTGGGTTTCTAATAATAAGTTGTATGTGGATTACAAAAAATTCCATTCTTATTCAGAGCAATGACTTGGTCATCATGCTTTAACAGTTTCGGTGAAATTACGACTTTCTCTTTCAAACTATTTACAAATGACTGTCGGACTTATGTGCAAGGAAAATTGCTCTTTCTGTTGGTTATAAACCCATACTAAAGAAAAGTAGGTGGTACTAGACAAGAAGTTTTGAAAGAATAGAGTAATGGAGGAGCCACTTTAGCAGATTTGCTAAATATATTGACATCTCAACAAATCAAATATGTGGGTAGTTCTTATTTCATACTTTGTCCATATCTCAAATTCAAGTTTCTAATTCATTAACCATTGTACACGTTGTATGGTAGGCATAATATACCTTGAGAAGTTACTCACAAAAATCAATATTTAGTTTTTTCTTTCTTTATATTTCATTTTAAAATAAGAAATTAAAACATATATATAATGTTAAAATTTCAATTTTATTGACATAAAGTAATAATAAAGTTATTTAATAAAATTTTGAAAATAACTCAAAGTTCATTACACGCCCTTTAACATGCCTGTAGTAAAAGGGTTAAATTTTTCTTGCAGGATGCAGACACCATATGTGACATAATTCGCTTATGTCAGTCCAGTTTTAAAACAAAGGTTAGTGTTGAATACTCCCTTTAGCAGTATTTACTATAAAACTATATTGAAACTGATTCTGTATTAAAAGTAACTCAAACCTAAAATATTTTTTTACCATTTTTATATACACACCTCTACCAGTTGATCCAAATGATTTCTCTTGTTACTTATTTTGATCCTTCTAAAATATTTCGTAATGTTTATAATTTATGTGTATTTATCTAAAAGTCTATTACATGTACTCTTTATCAGTTGAATACATTATTTGCATGAATTTCTCCATCTTTTGTATTGCTTTGCACTAACCTTCAAGAAATTGTATTTTATAATATCAAGTTACTTGTTATATGATATACTAAATGAGGCTTTTTACTTCTTTTATTTATCACAGATGAATAAGAAAAACGTATTTACTAAATAAATGTATTGTAACCAAAAGCTGAATGCATTATTGATATTGTAAAGTGATTTTACTTGCATCTTGCTTCGTAAATACTATACATTTCAATAAGCAAAACATTTTTATTAAGTCTTTCTAATTTTGTTGGTGAGCAAATAGTATATAATTAACTCTGTTATTTGCCTTTTAAAGCATTTCTTTCATAAAAAAATCATATCAAGAAACAGAAAAATTTGGTAACTCAAAAATAACCATTAAATAAAAAATATTGTTGAGTAGAGCTTACTTTTGTATATTCTTGAAAGTTACACCAACTATATTTTACGTAATGACAGATTATCAATTTCTAAATATTTTAGAGTTAAAAATTATTGAAATGTAGTTTAAATTATTTTACTTGCATTTCGAAATTTGATATGCTAGTGTGCACTCATCAGCTGAAAAATGCTTACAAGGTGAGAAAGGATTAAACCTTGTTTTTAACATGATAGAATTTAAATTAGTGAGTTAGCTGTGGTGTAAAATAATAGGTAAAAAGTGAATCTATTAAAAGTTGTTTCTATTTTTTAATAACATGATAGACATGATAGCTGATGTATCATTTTTTTATTTTAAATGGTTTTGAGTGTTGAACAAGAGTTTAATCATTTGTTGTATTTAACTTAACTTTCTATCAATATTTTAATATTTAAAAACTTACTTTTAACTTATTAATTCAGTTTCTAATGATAAAGAAAAAGTTGGAACTTAACTAATATTATCAATATCTTAGTGTTTTTCTATAAGATAAACCAAATTGACCAACAGCTGTTACCTAGTTAGTATTTTAACTGTTTATTGCAGTTTCCAGCATTGTAACTTAATGAACAATTTGTAACATGGAACTTAATATCACAATTTTGTTTAGATTTTTTCAAGTTATTTCATAGAATACATCAGTTACAGTGTTAACAAATTCTATAAAGATGTATTTTAGATGAAAAAAATTAATTCTGTGGAGAAAAAAAAATACTTTTGTGGTACTAAGCAGATGAATGTTCACAAGATGGTGTTTATGACTTGAACAACAAACCAATCTAATTAACACTTAGCAATTTTTATATGGAAAGTATTTAACATAGTCTTATAATAAAAAAATGCACTAAAATAAGTTCAAGATGTTTTCCTTATCAGCCTATCCTAATGTAATACTAACCAGTGTAGTACTAGTCAGATATTTAACTTGAATTATTTTTTGGGATATATTCACATAGTTTTTTGATTTATCACTTATTTAGTATAATGATGTATTTATTTCTGAAATACATTAATATACTTCTCTTTTTGTTTAATAGTTGCTGCTTGCTCCATCTGTTGTTAATAAAAGTAATAAGAAATGTGAGCTTTGTGAACTGTGGAGAGAGAGAGCTCAGAATTATATAGGTGGAAAGTTCATCAAGGTGTGTTTTCATTTCTGATAGTAATAAAAAATTGTATTGAGATATACAGTGAGTAAACCTGTTTCAAATTTACTTATCTTTTAGGATTTTGATGTCATTAATTTTATATGGAAGTAATGTTTCATTTTTCAGAAGTTAAAAAAAGCATATTTTATAAGATTTACAAAGTGAAACAGTATATTATATAATGAAATGCGTAATTTATCTAGTATAGTTTTGAATAAATTAAGTGTATTTGACCCTTGGAAAATGTTTTGATGTTAATTTATTAAAATAAAAACTAAAACAAACTATGCAAAAAGTATAGAAGTCATGAAAATAAAAATTAATAGCTAAATTATATAAAATATAATTTTCTCATTATTAGCAAATTGTAATTTCTTAGTTCTGCCAGAAACAGCAATATTAGTAGTAGATTTTCAGTCTGTCAGAGAAAGATTGTAATATCTTAGTTCTGCCAGAAACAGGAATATTAGTAGTAGATGTTCAGTCTGTCAGAGAAAGATTGTAATTTTTTTTAATCATAATAATTGCATATTTTGACAAAGAAAAAGAAAAAGTGGTTCCCTCTATCATTGAATAATGGACAGAAAATTTGAACTCTGAGACAAAGAAATAGTTGTAGTTTT